CCATGACATGGTATACACGTAGTTCGTTATTAACATTTAAAAGGCCAGGGCGACCACAGGGATAGCAGGAAAACTATACTGTCTGGACAAAGTACAAAAAGCCAAAAAGATGATTCCTTTTGGGTCAACATAACTTTAAACATGCACTAATTCACTGCACTTTTGTGATACTGTTAAAAACCTGTTAACAAAACGCTTTGCTAGTAACAAATTCTGAATATTAGCACTCATTTTCAGCCTCATTTATCCCCAAAAATGCACGATTTAAAGTTATTTCGATCATTTTTCTGCATAAATTTCTATATTTTATGACGCACCCCTTCACCTTTATACCAAATCCCCTTTACAATCGGCAAAATTTTTTTACTTATGAACTTATAATCCTCATGTCTCTTCTGTTTTCCCTCAATTGTTACCTGTAAAGCGACTAAGTAATTGGACTGGCATTGGGATGCGTCAGTCTGCTGACAAGTGAACACTAGAGTTGGCATTTGTGAGACAGGCACTACTGTTTAATCACCAGCTATATTGCTAAAATTCTCATTAAAAGAGACCATGTCTTTCAAGCATTAAATGAATATTTTCACACTGTAGGATACCACCTATAGATCGACAAAAAAAGCCGGACAGCTACCTTTATGAATTTAAAAATATTGTTTTTTGAGATAAACCCCTGCTACATAGGTTAACTGCATTATTGCAAACTTAAGATTAGTGAAGTAGGATTTGTAATTAGAGCGACCACTTAAGCAGAACTGTTTATCCTTGAAGGTGTATTAAAACCTGGAATTCACATATTATAACAAAGCAAGAAATGTTGCACACTCATCAGAAAATGAAAAAATTTTCCGTCGGATTTTTATGGGTGCTTTCGTCAGCTTCAGCTAGTTCACAGTGAGAACAATAAATTTGGTTCCACAATAGCACGTTAAAGTGTTTATTTGTTTAGATCAACTAGTCCTTATATCAATCAACAGTTTTCCCATTCAGACGCAGTAGTTTGCATGATTAATTAAGAGAATTGGAGAGGGAATTATGTGTACGTGACACACGCCGCCTGCCGCTCCAGCAAACGAATGTTGGTGATGATGCCAGCTGCGGCTTCCTGCACCTGCTCGTCCGCTGACCCCGCCATTGCCGTCAGCTCCTCGCAGATGTCCGCCTCCCAGATGCGCGTTACATTAGCAGGCAAGCGGCTGATGCCGTAGAGCGCTCGAACCGCCGCGTCCCGCAGCTGAGTGGCGCTAATGCCGCCTTCCCCTCCTACGCTACTTGTGGAGGAACGGAAAACGGCAGCCAGCATGGGCACGCAGTTTGCACGCCCCAGGTACTCGGCATTCTCACCGAAGTATGAGCATGCGGCGATGGCGCGCACCACGCTGATCTTCAGAGCCTCTGAGTAAGCAGCAGAGAGGATTCGGGCGAGTCCTTCGATCACATCCAGATCCGACATGATTGCTAGGGTGTTCTTGTCTCTCGCCATCTGCGCGATTGTGTCGAGTGCTGCAATCTGCGTGTCCTCTTCGGTAGACATAGAGGCGATGAAGGAGACAATGGTAGCAGGTGCGTTGATCAGTGGCTTGAGCAGAAGTCCCACTTCGTCCGAGTTCGCCAAACATGCCTCGATAGTGCGCAGTGCCTCACATCTCGATCCACCTGTCTCGGTCGCCATGTAAGCAAAGAGGATTCGTAGACCTCCAAAGTTAACAAACTGTTGTTGCAGTTTTTGGTGCTTTAACAACACTCGCAAAGAAATGCACGCAGCTGGGGTGAGATTATTTATGGCAAGGCGCAATAACACTATCCATGGCTTGACCCCTTGGGCCATCTTTGCGATAAATTTAAGTATTTCAGGTATCTGGGCAGCGACGGCGATCGCATGAAGACAGTTAAACACAATCTTCTCCGCTCTATCCAGACCGTTGAGTTTGACTGAGGCGGTGGTAACAGGGCGACAGAATGGACCAAATAGTCGTGGTAGCTCGATGATTAAGCGTACCAAATCACTATACACCTGCTTCTCTTGGAGAATCATTGCATTCTCCCGAGACAACGAAGTCTTCCAAATTAGATCGGTAATACCAACCAGAAGGGTTTCGTGCAATATACCTAGAGCCTGCTCCCGCTCCCTCTGTTCTGCAGTCCTTTCACCGCGTGTATTCTTCAAGTTGCCCCCCTTCTGCATCGAGAAAGTAATCTTCTGATGCTGTCCTGTGGCTTTAGCCTCAACGCGATCGCGACCGCGAAGAAGGGAAGTGACAAAGCCTTCTTCATCGAAAGGCTGACCACGCGTCATGCAGGTTATGCGGATGCTCTCAAGTGCCCCGTTAGCGTTTCTCAACTCCCAACGCAGCATTCGTACAATCGTGTCGAGCCCATTCATTTTTCGTATGCCCTCGCGAATGTCTCGCTCGTTTGCGCATTGGGCTAATGTGAATGTACACGGTAGTTTAACAGCTAGAGTAGAATTTCGAAGAGATTCCAGCAGATGAGGCAGAATCCCTTCTGTTAGAACGGCAATGCGAAAATAGGTCTCCACACAACATGCTTGCAGCGTAGACATTACATGTTGGAGAACGTCAGTATGAGCTAATGGAATGAGGACTGCAAAGACAGACACTATTCCAGTCTGGCGCAAAGCCAACCTACCCTCGGCGTTTTTAGAGACGGCGCACAATACCACACCAAGTACCTTCAACAGGCTATCCGTCGTGCGTCTACTGGAATCGACCTGCTGTTCCAGGCGATTAAGTTTAGCTCTCAGAGCGTTTTCAGGGCTCGTGTTGAAGGCCAATGTCATGCGAACTTTACGTTCGTAGTCCGCGTGTATTTCAGTAATCTTCCTGGTGTTCTCGTCTAGGAGGCAAACGATTGGTTTAATGGCATCCATGCGGGCTAATAGGACACGAACCTTCTTGAGGACGCAGAGGTTACCTATGATTCTCCCTGCTGAGCGTTTCATATGGATGTTAGGATGATGAAGGTTGGTAAGAAGGGGTTTCACACCACCCAAATGGACGATGAGGCGAGCGAAATAGATGATTGTGGAGACTTTATCGAGCACACGCATGGCAGCAACCTGAACAGGTGGGTCGTCCACAGAGAGGAGATTCAGCAGTAATGTGGTGCAATGCGAGGCCTCAAAGGCCTGAGCCACCTCCTTAGAGTGGAAATTCATATGGCGAATGTAGATGAGGGTGATGAGAGTGCCTTGGCGGTTAGTGGCAAGGAAGTAGCGGAAGTACTTGAGGAATTGCAGGTAGGTATAAGTGATGCGAGATTCCCCTTGGTTAAGCAGAATCGACTCTGCAAATTCCATTCGCTTGACGTCTTCTTCCTCTTCCGAACTCATTTCCCCTAACATCATCGATCTTACTGCGTCCTTAGTTCCGCTTTCTGTCTTCTCCTCCCTAATCCCATCCCCCCATCGTTTATCCTCCTCTTCCTTCTTCAGTATGGCATGGTGGACTGCTCGGTTTCGAAATTCCAGACGTTCTGCAGCTCTTCGGGTACGAGAAACTGTATCCTGAAAGTCACCCAAAAGGACTCGATGATTGATGTGAGCCTGAATTCCATGGACACCGCGGATAACGGGACCACTGGGCGAGACAGGGGCATCGAGGCGCAGCAAGGAGTTTATTATTCGTCTTCCGCCTTTTTCTGGTGATCCCTGCCCTGGAGCGTGGGTGGGTCTTCGAAAGAAGAACTGAGAGACGACACTCATCAAAACCAGCTGTGGCAATAGGATGGAATTACAGCTGGAAAAATCTATAAACCTACGGAGGGAGACTGTGAGCAGGGATGTTCTCTCAATTTCAAATTTGAAATCGCATTTAAAAAAACTTGGAAGTCAGTATTATTTTTGCACACAATTGCTTGAATATACCTTTTAAATGACATGCGGTTAATATACACCAGGCTTGTGGATGAACGAACGACACCAATCCCTAAGGACGAGGAGGCAAACGCTGATCTCTCACAAAGCTTGAACAATCCGGAAACGTCTTCACCCCTCCCCTTCCCACTACACAAATACAAAAGGTCTTTTTCTAGTCATTCTTCCCGATTAAAGGACTTGAAGCAGTGTAAATACTACGCTTTTTATTAATTTTTCTTAAAAGTATGTGAAGGATAAGCGACAGAAGCGTAAGATTACTCTCAAATAAGTCTACGGTATGGTGCTGAAGTATGTACTATGCATAGCAATAGCGCAGTGACTTGATGTTTTGTTGAACTTTGTGTTACAATATGGGGGCACTTAATTCTCTGCGGGTTGTACTTCGGCTCGAGGCATGGCCTTGGGGTCTTGAAAGAGAATCGAAGCGCGCTCTACGTCGGAAACATTGCCCGTTATTCACTCATCGCTTTTTCCAAATGTAAGCAGGTCAGCTACAGCGGCTTGACCAAGGCCAATGAAGATTTGGTGGACGTGGCTGCCACTGCTTGTTCATTCATGAACGCACAACCACAGAACCCCGTCAACCTCCTAAAATTTGACCACTTAAACTATGTAGACGTCCCTTCGGCAGCATGCCTCAATCCGCCCTGGCTGCTCACACCGCTACGGCCTCAGCCCCTGACTTGAAGACCATGGCCCCCACTCCACCTACAGATCAGGCCAACTACATGGATTGGCAACTTAGTTTTATGATTTACAAAATTCCAGACATGACACCAATCCTGTGAGCTCTTTTCTAGATGTTGGAGAGAAAGAGAAGGTATACCTCTACAGCGAGAAAGCAAGTAAACCCAACTTTAAGCCTAGGAGTTGCAACAACTCCAACTTAGTGGTTGGAAAGTGGGGACGTTCCATACGGGCTTAGAAGTCCATTAGGTCCTAAAATGATCATTTTCGGTATTGATAGAATGAAAGTAGCAAAAGCAGCTCCATTTTCAAAAAATGGAAGCATTTTGGAAAAAGTAGTGAGAAGGGCAGCTGAGAGGGTCTATGCTTTAAGTGCAGCTTTTGTTTGCTCCTGTTGAAATCGCTGTTGCAGTTTCGTGATCTGCTCCCGGTGGTTATCCCGCTCCTTCTCCATCGTCTTCATCATCTCATCATTTCGCTTCCTGTAAAGACCAAAAAACATTACTGAATTCGCAAAAATGACTATTATGAAGCAAAACCTCTCGCTTGCACTGCTGAATCAGCACGACGCATGTGTTAGATTAAAATGCGGCGGATAACGTGATTTTCATCTTCCCGGAATACACGGACGCTATGAATGACGAGGAATACTGACTCACAAACTGAGCAGGTCCACATCTACCACTGGCGCTAGTTGGAATCGCTTAACTTGATTAAAACGAAGATTCTGTACTCCATCTTCGAGATATATTATAATTTTCTCCCCAATTTTTGGTAAATGATTCCTGACCCCGTCGACCGAACTGGACATTTTTGACAATATTACTAGGCAGAATTTTTCCTCACTCCACAGAAATGGAAGCGTTTTTGCTAGGAGGGATTACTCAACTTGTTTGCAACTGAGACTCTGTATTCAAGCTTAGTGATATAACAGCACTTTTTTCTCTAAAAAGGGCGGAAAACTGCCACGGTTTAAAAAATGCTGTCAGAATTCATCCATGTATAAAGCCATTATAAAGTAATGCATTTCCTTAGCTGTTTAAATATTACTGGTTGCTGATGCTTTTTCTTCGTCATTTAAAGTGTCAGAAAAAAAATTAAAATGAGTAAAAAGTTCATCAATGGACATGCAACAATCTCCAAATAGCCATTTGTTATCATTCATATAGGGATCTTCGCACAACTAGCCATGAATTGAGAAAAAGTATTCCTGTCAAGAAAACAAATTTTCCCATCTTTTTATATTGAAAAGAATAGACGACGTGATAACCCTAAGAAATATGAATACGCACAGCGGATATGCAACCAAATGGAGACCATACATATTTAGGAGGTATACTGCTATAAAACTAAGTGATTACGAGCAGAATATTCTCCTATTGTGGAACTACATGCCTTTGGATTGAACGACTGCTGAATATCACCCAAAGGAAGCTCAATTTAGTCGAGTGCCGCGTACAATTACGCAAGACTTAAATGCCTAAATGCGTATTTTTATTATGAAGGCTGATTAGCACAATAGAAGTTAATGGTCTAAATTTGTGGATTAAAATGCAAATGCATAATCTCAAGTCAACAATCATCATATGGTCAACAGAGGCAAAAAACGCACTAAAGTTGACTCCATTTTCCTATTCAGACTTCATCAACCACAACACACAAGGTGTTTTCGAACACTCGCTTCCGTAGTTTCGTTTAAATTTACGGTTGTAATCAAAAAACATCAGAAATGATACACTTCGGAACGAATGTTCAAGTAATCCAGAAATTTGACAGATCCTCATGGATTACTTGATGACGATTTCCAGATTAAAACCCACTTTCATGAGCAAAGTAACACCTTCCTTGCAACGTTGCGCACTACAAATTCCATCTTGCTGACTACACCGTTGGGGAGCAATACAGTTTCGCCCACTTTGGGGGAAGGCATAGTTTAGAAGTGCAAGTTAAATGAAATACCTTAAAGTATTTTTAATACACGGTATTCAACATCAACACCCATAATATGTTGAGCTGCGATTGCATCAGCCTCAAAACCATTTTAAACGACGTGCAAGTGCGCCATACCGCCACCACTAAGCACAATTTGCCGAAACAAAGGCTACAGTATCGAGAGGAAAAGAGGAATAAAAAAATGTAACCCTTGCCTAAGGCATTCTTGAACATTTTGAAGCTGCATGATACAAACGACCGCAAACAGGCAGAGTTAAGGAGTAAGCAAAATGCAAAGTGAAAACCAGGACCAGTCTAACCCAATAAACTGTAGATCAAGTAATTTAAGTGAGCTGAAGAAATCAAATAAATCCGGACTAACTTAAATGAAACTATCAAGGAAAGGTGTGAGGTAACAGGAACTCAGATTGTAGGGACTTGGCTGGATTCAAGCATATTTACGCAACTCACATCTCATCCTGAATGAACTTGAGGCGCTTTTTGACGGTGTCCCGGGCCTCCTCCAGGCTCTGCTCCACCAAAACTGGCCCTATAAGCTTAAAGACCTTATTGTCCTCCGTCAGCTCCTCCAAATCCTTGTCCACGTTTTCATTTTCCGACAGCTGACCTGCCAACTGCTGGTAGGCCTGCAGGCGCTTCTGGATGTTGCTTTCAACCTCCTGCAGTTTCTCCACCTCTTTTGTCAGTGACTTGTAGACAGCCTCCATGTGTCTGTATGCTAGGTACAAATCCGTAATGTGTGGCAATTATACAATTTCAGATAATAATTCCAGTGCAATTACACAGTTCTTACTAGGGTATGCGCTAGAAGCCGACCCCCAAACAAACATGCTGGAATTAGTAGAAAATTATTTTATTGGAACTGCAGGCTAGATTTTTATGGGTGAAGTAGGGATCCATGCTAGGAATGCTAAGCAAGTGAAAGTTTCACTGGCAAATTATATCATATGCAATCATGACTCATTAAAGCCAAGGCCATAACTACCTGATCAAATTCACCAAAAAGTAATGCTCGAAAAGGACTATTAAATCCAACTACAACCGACAGGAGTAGCAAAACGTGCAAGTCCAACTGAAAAACTTCTCGCACTTTCAAGTGGATATTTAAACGGTGGCGCTGCACACTTAAGGCCACGAGAACAGTCTGACCAATTGAATAGATGCATCATAAAAAACCATAGCAGCCCACAGTAATTCGCAGGGAAAATAAGAGTTAAAACGGAGTACACATTGCCTTAAAATCTAGTTTGACTGAATAGGAGGGACTCGAATTTAGGATTTTCACGGAACTTTTAGCCTAAAGTAGTTAGATGACGACTCAGTTTACAGTAATACAATTATTCATAAATCACCTTATATGTGGCTCCCAATAATCCTAATATTTAAAGATCTGCTGCACAGGCCTATCTAAAAATATGTTGTATCCTGCCCACTTGCAAACTAATGGCAAATAAACATATGCGAAAAGGAAGGCCTTATGATCAGCACCGATTAGGCGCAACCGGTAATTACTTAACGCAGCCACAAAGGAATTTTAGGATTTGTTGTGCCTACACTTTAGAGTCAAATGACTTTCACAATGCAGGAAAAATAGTGATGGTCAATAAATACATTGCTGATGAATTTCTGAGCCAGTGATAACACAGTTAGAAAAGGGCAATTTTTTCTATGCATATGCAGGGTCAAGAGTAGATGATATTACCAGTTCTGAGAATTGCAAAAGTAGGAGGTTCAGTTCTACTCCTCTCATTTGTCCATTCAGTAAATAGGTCATGGGCTGTTTATTTTCTGGATTGGGATTATGTAATTTAGTCATTGGAAGAGAAGAAGGTTGGGTGTTCTTGAATCGCGTCAATTTGCTTTTTTCAGTTAAGGCAGTGCACGCTAATTTAGGTTGTTGGCGTATTGATAGCCGCCGATTTGTTTTGCGCTTTGTTGCTAAAGTGGGTTATTCGAGTCTCTTTCGTAGTTGTCTTAGAATGGATGAGGTCAGAAGCTTCAGTTTAGAGGTTCCTGTTGAGTTTTTACTGATCTTTTTAGCTGAAAACACTTTTATCAAGTTCGTTGCCAATGACGAAAACAAAGATGACATCCATTGCTGGTGCTGCTATTCGAGCGAGCAAATTCTATAAACATGTCGTTAAACTGGTCGAAGAGTTCATTCTCAGGTGCACATCAAGATTTAAGCTTCCTGGATTGTTTATCGTAGATGCGATTTTGCGTCAGTCAAGGCTTAGTAGTCTTGATAGGGACCTGTATGGTCCTCGATTTATGCGAAATATTGATACAGTATTTTCTGCGCTCTCCCAATGTTTGCCTGAAGACAAGTCGATGGTCTCACGAATACTCCAATTATGGAGGGAGAAATGCGTCTATCCGGGGGATCTTATTACAGTTTTGCAAGATTTGGTTAATGACCCCGACAGTCCTGAACTTCATGCATCCGGTACCCTACTTTTTGTATTTTTTCATGTTAACTAGCACGGAAGATAATCTCGAAATCACTTTCTGAATATGAATCAAGGCGAGGTAAGGGATCCCGCATACCCCAAGATAGTGAGGAGTACCTGCAAAAAGCTATTCAGGTTCGTTGCATGTACAAATTTGCGTGGTTTCACGGGTATTTCTTAGTAAAATTCGTCAATTATTCCTTTCTGACATTATTTTGTGCGTGTCATTTCCAGAGGTACCTTTGTGTTTGCTATTTTGTATTCTCATCACCTTTTTTACATTTTTGTGAAAATCTACCGTGGTATTTTATAGCGTTCATTTGCGCATGTGAAGCTACGCACTTTAACTGTAAGACTGTCCTTTGAGTCGTATATTGCCTTCGCTAATCCGATTCGATTCTTTGTGAATTGATTAAGTGCTTTCTTTTGTTCACTTATCGGGTCGCTTGGTTTTCAGCCGTAATTTTAGAAGTTATATTATCACCTCCCGGGATTATTATAATACTTTTTACGATGTTTCTTTTCATCAATATTACTCTTCGTTCAGGACCTCAGAGTGTGCTCATTATCATTTAATAAGTCTGTTTTCTTTAGTGCAGAATATTGATTTCTATGGGAATATAGCTTCATCACGAACAGCTCTATTAATATAGTTGCCACGCCTTTAAAAGTTTTGTGTGCAGAACAATAGTCGCTTTCCCAACTTGTTGATGTATACATATTCAACGTTTTTACTCTCTGTTATGTCAAAGCACCACTTTCTTGGCCCCTAATTTACGGCTCTATTATTTTTTTCGCTATTTCTTAGTGGGTGCAACGGAAGATCCAGGAACAACTGGATTTACTTGGTCGTGGCAAAATGATTAGTGCAGAAGTAGTTGCTCAACTCAGTTCTACGCTGTCTCAGCTTCGGTATCAGTAAGTGCTTTTTGGCTTGTCTGGCTTAAGTGCATTCGCTCTCATTTTCAGTCCACAATCGCAAATGGCGTTTTACTGTTAATTTGGCTTAATTACCTACCTATCACATTGGAGATCCTAAAGGGACCGATGTTTCAAAATCCAAATAGGCCCTCGTTTAATTTTGGCTTTTTTAACTGCTGTTTTGTGGCGAAAATGTGGGAGGTGCCTGAGTTCCTTTGCATACATATTTCCGGTATTATTTGGCTTTTTCGGTAAACACTCAACTTATGTGGCGACGCATGGAAAGGTATGTGCGGGGGTGCCAAATCTTTGCCATTTATACATGAACCGATACGTGTACGCACATGTGACTTCGGTGCTTTATGTAGCTTACTTTTGCAATATTGGGAGCTCAACATTTATATGTGGTAGCGAACGTGTCTACACGTTTATTTCTCGAATTCTGATCTTTACCATTTTTTTCCATTTTTCATCTACCGTGGTTTTACCAATGTGGGAAAAGTGGGCACTTGTGTTATATTCTCGATTCGTCTTGCCTGTCATTAATTGACGTTACTAAAGCCGCTATTTCCAATTGGTGGATTTTTAAGTTAATTCTGTCATGTAATCCAAAGCCTGGTAGTCCACGCAACCCACCTTTGCTCTTTTGTAGCCCTTCAATAGAAAATTCATACTTTGATCAGTTGAAGGCCATCGTGGACACCATGGCAGAGAATAGAGCCATTCAAGAACAGCTGAGCAAGTGTCACGTGAACAGCATCGGTTCCACGTCCAAGGAACCCCTGTCCAGTCGACATAATTCAGTGGAAAATAATACATTAAATAGTGCACTTCACAACAGTGAAAACCACCACGACCATCAGGTAGGTAAAGCCAGTAAATGTTTCTTCTTTTCCACTTATGCACTTTAGGAATGCATCATTTAAGAATGCATCCTTGTCAAATTAATTTCAAAAGGTGTCTTTGTGAACTATTAGTTGTATTTATTGGTCCGTTTCACATTCCAAATGTAAGGCTTATGTAAAGGTTTTCAGCTCATATTCTAGCCTCTCTCTCAAGTTATCACAGTCATTAGGCTCTGTTAAAAGCTTGCGGTGTAAATGATATCCAGTGAGATTGTGATTAGTAAGAGTTAGCTAGCATCCGGTTATTGCATTAGAATCTAATGTGAGACCACGTTGTCGTTTTTCAGAACCAGGCATCAACAGTTGCAGTTAGTGGTGGCGGTCGAAGAGTGGCGGCTGCTGGCGAACTCATACCCTCCGATGAGAGCTCTTTCGAGGATCGACTGCAAGGTTTGGCTTCCAATTCCTTTCTGTCAAACCACGTCAATGTCAGCAACCATCGACCTCCGCCACCGCTCACCTCTGGTGATGAGGGCAGCCGTCGGAAACGACGCTCACGGAATCAGCAGCATGTATCTCCTACCTCTCTCATCTACGACACAAACGCCTCACCTGTTCGGAAGCGCACCAAAACCGAGTTAGACCTTATTTTCATGCCTTGCTCCTTCCCTTAAATCCACTGTATTTGCTCCTATTTATATCAAGCACTAGAGCGAGATCTGGGATGTTTCGGTCATTATTGGGGGTATTAAAGTAGCAGTCGGCACTTTTGTTTGTAGGGAAGTAAGGCTCTATTGCTTTTCATTATTGTCACCTTTTATCGGCTTCCCTTCTTATAGTTATAGGCAATTCTAGTTTTTTGTTACATGTCGATTGTCTGTTATTCGTATTTCTTGTTCTCATTTAACATATTTTAATGCCGATTCTTTTAGCCACCATGGTAAGGCACTAAACGTCCTCCAAGGTGTTTTGACATGGTTTATCGGTTTTCTAGGCTGTGTTTCGGTGACCGTTTAGATTCCTTTTTGAGGTTCATAACTTTCTGAAAGATTTGCTAATCTCATTCACTGTAGCCTCGTTATGCCGAAAAATATAAGAAGCTTATTTGAGACTTGTTTTCCAGTGTATTGTGCTTGTCTTGTAATCCATACCTTTTATCCCAGTCGTACAACTTCATCGGTGTCGTCATCATCTTCGATTTCGCTACGATTTCGAAGCAAATCCTCGGAGCAGCCGACAGCACCGGTGGTTCCAAGTACCAGCACAACTACCCCCATGTCGAACGACCCTGGCGGGACGATGGAACAATTTCTCATCGGCCTCGGTGAGGATGTAGAGGAGACGGCGAGCCAGCGCGAGCGCCGTCGGCGTCGCGATGCCCTGCCTTCGCTGCGCGCCAATTACATCTCCCTAGTGTCACGCACCATCTTCATTGGCCACCTGCATAAACAGCTGGCGGAGACACGGTTACAGGCGGTGTGCGAGGCAGCGGCGCGTGCCCGCGTTCTCGAATGCAACCTTATTCCTCCGCGTGGCTGTGCCTTTATCACCTTCGAAAGCCGTGCCGCCGCGGCACGCGCTCGTCGTAGCCTCGATAGATCGATGCTGGAGCAGCGCGAGATGAAGACCGCTTGGGCGGCCAATCTCGGTGTGCGACGCAGTCAACAGCGTTGTCACGAGGGTTGGAGTGAACGCGAGGGGTGCACATACCTCCCTCTGGAACAAGTTGAACGCATGGCTCCCTCCGCCTTTCGCTCTCTCCTTGAAGGCCACGCCCTTGTTGACGCGGATTCTATCTCGCCTGAGTTGCGAAAGAAACTTCTCTCTCCATCCAAGGATCGTTTAGTCTCGACAAATTTGGTCAAACCTGTCCTCATTCCTTCTCGCCCTCAGACAGCCATTCCTTCACTAGCGCCTCTTTCTACTGCGGGTAAGTTTATAATCATCAGAAAAGGGAAAGGCTCATTCGGGCCACTTATTTCACTGTGGCCGACTCTGTAGCACCACCACCCCCACCACCGCCTTTACCGCCTCCTCCTCCTCCCCCTCCTCCACCGCCGCCGCCACCACCACCACCACCTCTCACGGCGTCGTCGACTGCTCTGGGCGGTGTGGCTCTGTTGCCCCCTCCATCTGTTACAACGTTGACGAATACCACTGCAGGCATCACTGCTGCTCCTGCTGCTGTCCCCATTGGCGACACCCCCAGCAAACCGCCTCTTCTTCCCTTCGTTTCTGCGGTGTCTACGTCTGCACTTTGTAAGCACGGCTCTCTGCAACTTCTCAATTTACATTTCTGTATTCTATCTCATTTGGCAATTGGTTGTTTAGATGGTCACTAATTTCTCAGAACTAGATTGATTCTCAAATATTCCTTTGATACTTAATTAGCTTTCCTATATTTGCTTTGGCGATCCATCATTGGTATTATTGTGTCGAAATAAAGAGATTTGCTCAAGTCTAGGAAAATTTTTACTGATCTCGGTCTTACTGGATGATGTGTTGAAAATAATTGGTTTCGCTTGCAAGAATTTTCAAATTAAGCCTTTAAATTTGTTGTTAATTAACAGAGCAAAAAAATTACAATCCCATGAAATCTTTCGATGTGACGAAAAGTCTCAACAAACGTTTCAAGTCTTGCACATTGCGTTTAATGGTGCTTTGTCTGGAGGGGCCATCAATCGGTGACTCGTTACCCAACTCAGGAACTTAATTCAGTTTCACATTGTGTTATTAACCACTTTTTGACTCTTTTTAACGGTGTAAAAGCTGTAACAATTTCCCATGGCCTTTTTCATGTTGTAGTGACACAGAACATCCTCACAAATGCAGCTTATACAGTAGCGCAGCCACCGGCTCACCTCCTACCCTGTACCATGGTGCCTCCGCCAACGAACTCCACTCAGGTGGGCGGTTCCCTTCACCAGCCATTCGTGTCTCAGCTTTCGGCACCCTATCTCAGGTTCCCTGCTGCCGACTCCGTGTCACCTTTTCTCCGTTCTCATGAGCAACAACAGTTGCCGCAGCCGCAGCATCATCCACCCCCCACAGGGTCTTGGTTCGGCCCTGAGGGCAATCCCTCTCCAGGAGTTCACGTAGCCGCATCTACTTCCTTGCGTTACCAACATCCACGCTTCAGCATTGAACAGACATTCGCTGCTGGTAAACCTCTAGCTTTAATTCTTGCCGATTCCTCTCGTCTTTTCACAAGTTGTAGGGCACAATACATGTTTCTCTGTTCCCTTTCTAGGTGCAGTACAACCAGTGCCGATGAACCGATGGCCTCTTTCCAGACCACCGCCCCCATCGAGCCTTCGGGCACTACCACCGGCGCTCTCATGGCAAAGCAGTGGTGGTGGCAGTCAACTAATAAACGGTTCCGTCCCTCATAGACATCTGCCACCTCCGTTTGGCGTCAATCCGGGTAGAAGCCGACTACCGCCCTATCGACCTCCACCCTTTCCTCTCCCCCCTCTCTCTCGACATCCTCGGTAGACAGTCGCTTCGTTGTACTGACACCTACGATTTTGTACATATCCAGACACCCAAGCGCATGTTTAGCGCCTCGTTTATACATGCGCACTCACAGGATCTGCCTCCTACACAAACGCCACTAGCCTACTGTCTATGGTATTTCTAAAGCCTGAGGTTTTCATTGTTGCGTCAAGTGTCCTGCCGTTGGGTCGTGGACGGCAACGATGGTGAGCAGACCTCTCCCCCTTAGACACTTAAATAGTCACCTTTCAGGATCTCGCACTGAGGTCTGCTTTTTTAAGCCTAGCGGTAGATTTTCGGCCAGTCTTTTTGATAATTTTAAAATAGTATATTCGAGAATCATAAATCACTACGTCTTAACAAAACGTGGCTGAACAAAGGTGCTCACTATTCTCTCTAACGACTTTTGAAAAACATTTGCCTGTAAGCAGATGCACTCCAGCGCGACTTGCAGTGGCACACCTGTGCCCAAATAGGCATCCCTGTTTCCATTTGGTCAATCATTACTCTTCTTTGAATATCTGAGATTCTGGTGCCAAAACTCGATTTGAAGATAAGCAAGCCTTCGTTTCGTTTATACTGTGGTTACATCTTCAAGCCGTATACAAGTGGAGCAAGTTTCGACTATTCAATCGCGGACTTTTGGCTAGTATAGGTGTGGTAGAATAACAGTTACGGAAACCCGTATGTTTAAATCCTAAGCATCGTCTCGAATGTAGATATAAGCAGAAGTTATCTTTCCATAGATGTACAAATAGGAAATCACATAATTCGGTGGGGTTCGTTTTTTCAGCGACATGAAACGTCGCTAAGCAGCTGTTTCGTCTGCCTCAGGCAGGCTAGCCATTTCGAAGAGCTCGTCCATGTATTCCTTTTCCAACTTCGCATAAAATTTCTCCAATCGGCGCTTACGATTCTCTTCCTCAACCACGTCGATTGTGACAGGCTGATGAATGCCACTGTGGCCGTTGACTGTGTTGTGTGGGTCTAATCCACTCAAATGGCATCGCACCGCCTGAAACGGAAGTTAAATTTAATGCTTTTGCTGTACTAGTGGATGTCTTCACTTTCATTCCATGCGTAGATCACTTATGAAATGGTCAAATGGAGGTCGGATGTTGACTCATTCATGAAACAGATTGGAACAAATAAGGCAACAGATCGCCTACGAATAAAACAACTGTTTAATGGATTAAGCTATAATCCGTTTTTACAAAAGTTTATCCAAAAATTGGAAATTTTGGTACCAGAATAACTCAAAATTCCATCTTTCAAGCTGGAAGAGAAGCTGTGTGAACTGACTGCCGACAACTAGGTGATCAATACCGCACTCAGGGCTAGAGGCGAAGGTCGATTCAAACATCGTCGCAAATACCAGAGGATCCTAGCCGCATCAACATTATGAGAAAGCCACGTGGGAATCCAGCAAAGCAAGAAACGCAGAGAGTTACAGCACACGGTAAGGAACACATTTAAAACACAATGCACGCATGGAATAGGAAGCCAATAATACACCTATTCGCAGCTTAAGTGCTCAGTACTGCCACTGATTAGCCGTACTTGACGGGCGACAGGAGGCACAGTCTCAAAAAGGGCCAAAGCATTGCCTTCCTAGCTGGGAACAAATCTATGCAAACCAGATAACTACAGCTTAAGTTGCAAATTAAGACAGGGTACCATACTCAAATAAACAACCGCCGATGAATTTTAGAGTGGATACAAGGTTAAAAGTGTGGTCGGAAAAGGATTATCTCGAAGTGATTGAACTGGGTCAAGTCCAGTCAGTCATGCAAAAATGCCTCGATTAAGAGGGCTTTGTGGTAAATACTTCTGAGGGATAGGAAAATCATGCCTTAACAAGGCAAACTATGTCACGTAAGCGAACCATGTTGTCCAAATTCGCATATAAGGGTTTCAAGAAGGCACAAAAATTCATTCATCGAACTGAAAGACCCATGCAAACAGTAATGGGAGTTATAAGATGCAAATGTGATGTGATTTTAGGTCTCATGGAGTCAAACAAATTGAAGTGAATGAAATGCATTTTGGACAAGAAGCTTCAATTAGAGGAGGCCCCATAGTACTTGTTTTCGAAAAACACCTAAACTGTAACCTGAAATCGCCCTAGAGGATATGAAACATCAACTTCAAAAAAGGAAGAGGCGTTTTAGATAAAACAAATGCTGATAAAGTGAAATTCAATTCAAGTTTTGAGGTCTCATCCAAGTTGACAGTCGCTGCTACATTTCAAAGTAAATGAAAATCAAAGTTTGACCGAGAAAGCACTTTGCGCTTCAAAGGATCTTAAGTAGACACAGATAAACTGATGTGTGGTGTTAATAAACCGTGTTCGTGCCAGAAAAATTGCAAGTCAGATTAAGTTGAACACAACAACAGGTTAGCGTGATCAACGAATTCCAAATGCTTAAATTGATTCATTCTTGTACTAGAAAAAGTAATATACGTAAAACGCAGCCTTTTGAAAAAACAGTTGGGTTTAATAAATCGCGAGACATTGTTGCAGCAATTCTTCTAAAGGGAATTAGCGTTGAAAAGGTTTGAGTTAACAAGCCGTTATTTGAGGAATTTATGCTAACCAAATGCTGGTGAGTGGGATTTTGGATCAAGTTTAAATGGCACACTCGAGTATGCGGCCACTGGTGAATTCTGAAATTAGTGGTTAATCTTAATGAGCCCTAACTAACGCAATAGGGATGGAATGTTTTGTGTTAAGAGAGCACTACCAGAATGGCCCCACAACACACCTCGGGAAGTGGTAGGAGGGCGACACGATTGAGTTGAAAGTGGAGAATGGCAATGGTGAGATGCCAAAAAGAGAAAGTAGGCCAGTTGACCTCGAAGAAGGAGAAGAGGGCTGCAGAGCGCGAGGCCTGCCACAGCATGAAATCGCTCAGTCGTACCTCACCCGAGGTGCGCACCAACAGGTCCAGCGGCCGACAGCCTCGCAACTGGCTGCTCCGATCGATCACCTCCGGCGATATGTCCCTGCATTATGGGGAAGTTTTCTTAGAAAATCGCACAACGTCCAACCAGTTTTTGCACACAAATCACCAAATTCCTACGCTCAACACCGATCTGATACACTTACAAGCATAAGGAATGCGGTATTTTCATCCCTTTGCAGTGAAATAATATCTACACCATTTGTGTATTCGAGAACGTGGGCTTTCCCGATCTACGTATCGACATCTTCCCAAACGGCGTTGGAAAATGCCGCAGCAAATTATGTTAAGCCTCTCCGTTATTCTCAGAGTTAGCCGCCTTATAATGTCTTCTGATATAACTCAGGCAATACACATTTTTGTCAACTGCAATGTCTACATTTTCAGTGAATTTTTTAGGTCTTTTCAGTGCTCTCATTAGGCAACCTCAAAACCATTTAGTAAAGCCAGTGGAGACAACAGAAATGCGACAATAGATAAAAATCCTTGACTTTAAAATAGGAAATGCAGTTTAAAAAAAAACCGGCATAAGTGCACATCTTGCTCAAAGACAAATAAGTATATTATGTAATCTGTTTAAAGACAGCCACAAAATAAAAGAAAGCTTATCATTTAATTAACAACAGGGAACACATACTAAAGACCGAAAAGCCACAATCAGCAGTTCCAATGCAAGGCTCAACGGCATCTTTAAAGCATAAGGCAGAAATCAAGGTACATGTACTGCAAGTAAAAGAGATTATCACCGCGGTGCGTGTTTCTACACTGGATAAACATTATCACTCATCCAAGCGTGCATGACCTAGTGTTGGTTAATGAGATAGTGCAAAAAGGGATAGATGTAACGTGGTTAATAAATAAATGCAAAAATACAAACAGCATACTCTTCTTCTAAAATCCCCGCCTGCACTCCACGGCGAATGGCGTTCAACGCCGACGTTATTTCGTCGCGAGTGGTGTAAGGCATCAGTATGTTTAGTGTGGCCCTGCAAATTAATCACGAAGTTCGAATAAACAGGATCATATTTGCCTTCACCATGGTAAAATATGCAGAGAAACGCAAAAATATACAAGATATGGTTGCTACCGGGTGTTTTCACTCGTCAAAAGCATTAGTCTTGCAGCTGCACGTTGGACCTTTATCGGGAGCAAGCGTAAATTCCCCAAAACTCGGACTCGAACACCATGTTTGTCCAACTCGTTCCTTGACAAAATAAATGAATACATAAAAATACGAAATCCAAAGGCAGAGAGCAGAAAAATAAAGCACCCACTTCTTTTGAACGAGATCATTGAGTTTCACCAATGCGAGATCCATTAAAAATGAGACCTCACGTTCAGATCTCTTAAAGTTTTCGATGCTAAAAGCATAGACAGACACTTCCTTTATCCCGAAATCATAACACCAACGGAGCACCTTAGTGATGAATATGACAACAGCGCTTACTTCGGACAATTTCGAAAACCCTTGCTTGTGCCCTTCCGTTTTCTGGAGACCCTGGGCAGTTGCATGCCTACGATTGCCATCCATTATAAAAGAAACGTGACTGGGGATGACACCCTGTTTTAAGACACTCATTGCCAATTTCTGAAAACATGAGTACTTATACTCCTGGTTTATCCAAGGCATTCTCCACTTCAACGTCACGACTCAAGTTCTGATTGGCCTTCATTTAGACATTCATTGTGCGCTCGCTACCTACAAAATCATCCTCAGTATATATTAATGACTAGCCTTTTAAATTAAACCCCTGCTGCATCTCTTCATTGTTCGTTTGAAATCTACTTCTGTAGCACAATACTAATAATTAAAATGAGATACCCTAAAGCCAATATTTTTATTAACACACTCCTGTAACTTCGGATACTACAAGATTAATGTTGTCAACGTCTTTTACTCATTCGTTTAGTTTATTGTTAGAGATGATGCATTTGGTTTTGTGTGCTCTGGTTGATTCGATGTCTGGGATGTGACGCCCCAAGATTTCTCTAAAGACGAAAGATGGGATACCTGCACATTGTCATTATTTATGTGCACATACCTGCACATACCTACGCATTGTCAACGCACAGTGAGGCCCAAGATTGCTGACATGGTTAAGAGGCCAGTCCATTTAGCGGAGGCACAGTAGCGGAGACCCTGATCGGCTTGTCACCAAAACCAGCGGCTAAGCGGCAGTTACTATACTGCCGAGAATACGTATGCTGCTCTCAATTATTCAGCGACGATATTTATAGAATTCGAATAAATCATAGTTTTTCCAGGAAATATCCACGTCACACCTAGGCGGAGCCGCCAACTTCTCGAATATTACAAGCAGAGTCGACCACTTATTACCATACTGTACTGACTCCAGCCTTCTCTAAAGACGAAAGAAGACATGGTACTTAGGACATGCATATTCGACATATAGAAGGTATTAGGGCTACCAACATGGTCCAAAGGCCAGCCCAAGGTGGCTCCTTACCAAAACTGACAGCTAAACAAACAACCAACTTATTAAGGAATAAATTGTTGTAATCAGTTATTCTATAAATTTACGGATGGTTAATTTAGGTAACGCTTCTTGTCATGGAAAATGCATGTTTATTTTCCTTCACCATTCACTAGAAGGGTTATTGACAAACCGTTTTTTTCAAATCTTTGCTAATTCTCTTGTGTATTGGTATTGAAAATAATTCATTTCCCTTCTCGTTTGCTTCCAAAGTAGACAGAAGTGTTTCTGAGGGTAGATTAAGGGGTTTTGTAGCCTAAATTTGCGGCGTTGCAAATACCCATGATGACGTAATAGGACATGTTGGTGTAGAGACAGTCAGTAAGAGGATTTAGAGGCATTCTAAGGCCATGAACTTTTCCTCCTAATTGTCCTGCCAAGGCGAAACCACGAGTGGTGTTGGCTAAAGAGTTGGCTCAGTTTCATGTGCTGTTCAAACACACATCGCTCTGTTACCATCGTTTCCTGCGCTTGTAGAAACCTAAAGGTGTTATGAAAAGAATTTGTCGATTTCATTAGCGCTATTGTCTGCCTATATCTTGGGAATTATTTCCAAAAGTTATATCTTTCCAGGCCCTGAGCTCCTCCTGAGAGACCATATGATGGCGTAGTCTCTATTTCCGAGAAAACGTATGCTTTGATCAAGTTGTGCAGGTACATTCGAGAAAGTTACACTTTAGAAATCGGCTAATAGAACTGGCACAGCAGATTTATCTTTGTGTATTTCCTAGGATGTATTTATTTTATCAAGGGCCAGAAACCTGAACCTTTTAAACAGAGCTTTTGTTACAGCCAAATTAAGTGGCACATTTGGCAAGTGAATTTAATTGGATAATTTCTATAATTTGAGTGACCATTTGAGCCACAATTCCCTTTTTAGTCAATTTTATTGCAAGGAGAATCACATTGGTTTATTCTAACTCACTCATGAGAACCTTTTTTGTGCCACAAGACTACCTTCAGGCGACTAAAATGTACTTAAAATGGTCAGAAAAAAGATTGAAAAAGGAAACTCAGTTAAAGTTGCCTACCTGCAGGATTCTTGCATGTTCCCTTCATGACTAAAGTGTTTTGCATGTTGTGCTGTCTTCTGATCTCATAACACATTGTACCCTGTTTGATCTCTTTCACATCTCGCTCCTTACTTTTATTTCTGACCTACACACCACCTTAGTTGGATCTTAGATCCATTATATGACGTGGCAGTGCTGACTATTCATTTGAAGTAACCAGCCGCCTGTCGTAGACTTGGATAAACACTTGAGTGTGTATGCGCCGTCAGTCTGCAGATCGCATGACTAAACGCAGGTCAGCATCCATGTAGCAAATGATCCTATCTTAAACAAATTTTTTGATTATGGACATAAGGACGGTACCAAAAAAACACCCACGGTGGGTACGAAGATGCAATACAAAGGAGCGAAATTGGCCATCGTAATTTTGCCTGCAGAAGCAAACTTACAGACCAGTAAGGTATACATCTTCTTCTGCGGATGAATTGACAAATTTCTTGGGAGTGTAGAGTGGGTAATGGGTCGTTTAGGATAAACGATGATAAGCCAATCCACTCAACGAAAGTTGGATTATTAAAGCCACCTTTTATTACAAGTTGGTCGGTATATAATCTAATACGGTGCTTTTCTATAACTTAAAATGGTTGAATAACAAGCTGGTAGTCGATGACATTTGTTGTCATTCGCTAGTGCATGCTTAGCTTTCCCGATTTACCTGATATATGTAGCTTTAAAGAATTAGTCCCATCAGTCATGTTAAAAACTGTCGAATGTTTCTGACTTGCTGGTCTCGAATTAAAGTGGCGAGAGCACAATGCAGTTCTTTGTCAGATTTTAATTAAAAGGCCTTTCTGAGCCTTATTATCGGATTTAGAGCGATGCAGACCATTTCCAGGTGGTTCCTTCTCCTACCACGTTTTTCACCTCCAAATGTCAATGTGGCAAGTTTGACGAGAGGCTTTGGCAGCTTTCACGATCGAGGTAGCCGCATTTTTTCGTAGAAGCAATAAGCCGCAAACACATTCATAATGTTCAGCTTACACTTCATGTTATGAGGGTCCAAAATGGCGGAAAACTAGTACCGACAAAAGACTGGACTGACGATATAGCGTAAAGCATTTGGTTAAACAATTGCATGAATTCTGCGCAGGCATCATTGCATTGAATTACTTGGACAACCATGTGGAGCTTTTTCGGCAACACTAACCTAAAATAATTTGGTACTGTGTTTAAAATTTCCCCTTTTTGCTGCTTTGAAGCAATGACTTACATTTTGTAATTGCTTTGAGGAAGCCGAACTGGATTTAAACTACAATGGACCACATACTGTAATGCAATTCTTAATGAGCTTGCCTTTAAAATTAGCTGAAGAATAGGGTAACTAAAACTAACAGAGCCGAAAGACTACCTTCTGTTGTGGATATCTACAGTTCCGGACAAACGTTCCTATTGGAACGTTTTGGATATAATTTACTAAAATTTAATTTTCCAGACATTCTAAAATGTTATTCTTGTACGCTCTCGTTTTGTTCTCCTCGTTGATCAGTTTGACATGGAAACGAGCTCTGTGCGTTCTTATAAGCACGCACGGATTTAGGCCATTCATGATACCCAGGAGAGAACTCACCCCCCCAGCTAACATACGGTCGCATAGATACCAAGGTCTGACGGTATTCACTATGTCGACAGTAAAGAGGTCGTTTTTCCGAAGTCTTACTCCCTGATTAGTCCGGCTGGGATCAGGGCATCGTCGGTAGCACATAAAATTTTTTCAGCAAAAGTGCTTGCCAGCAGGTCAAAACTTAGTTTAAATAAGCATTTAACAACGGATAGCTAAAAAATATGCCAATGTTTTTAATAAGTTTAATTTGAGCAGTTAAATGGAAAACTATGATAATCACACAAAGAATACCTTAACATTTTATTTATATAGTCTGGTTTATCAATGAAACTCCAAGAAACAGACGAACAAATCATCATAAAGTTACACTGCATGTCCAAACGTGGAGGTGGATTTACAAGACTTTATGTTTGGACTGACTGCTTTAAAAGCACGCATCCAATAACGTTCTTAACAAAGAGGAGGTAATCACAATTGTGTTGTCCATCACCATTTCGCTTTGTACGCACAGAAAAAAAGAGGAGGGCCACCAGTTTTGCTACTTGGGTGCTCTGTGCGCATTACGACGCTTAAAGGGTAAGGCTCTCACCTGCCTAAATCGGCTATCCATCCGTGCCGAATTGGACCGCTTGGCCTGCTCCGCGTACCACTGAATGTCGGCGAGGGAGATGAGTGGCGTCCTCAGGGCAATTGCACAGACAGGCTCTGAACGCATTGTAAAGAACTCAGAAGACAGCTCATCTACAGACAACTTTGGAACCCAACGCTCTGCTGGGACCAACAATTCGGATACTTCAACGGGTAATACAAGGTACCTCTCAATCATTGGATAATTGGCAATTCTTTCAAATCGCTGAATTCCTTCATCACCGAATGGCCTCGAAATGGGATCGGAATATAGGGAAAATGGAGTCCTTTGAATAGTTTTGAATAAGCAGTCATTGGTTCTAGAATAGATGTTCATTTGTTTCTGCAAATTCTGGCACTTTCGAAATACTGAAAGGTACTTGCTAGCTTCGTTGGCTAGTTGAATCCTCGTTGATTTGTACTGATCTTCCAGGTTGGACTGTTGAATTTGTAGAGAAAGGTGAGTTAGTGGATCTTCGGGAAAAGGCGTAAATTGGGTCTCTGTGTTTACCATTTTCAGGAAGTGTTTGCACCTTTACCGAAACTTTGTTAGGATCTGGACAAATGGATTCGAGGGAAAAGTCCGGTGTGCTAGAGGGCCCAACATTAGCGTCTCTATAACGATGACAGTCGTGGTGCCTGGAGGATTTGTGACCACTTCTATTATGTGTGCCATGGTGTTTTTTCCGACAGCAGTGGGGCTTTCTATGCCTAAGGAGGACTGGAGATAATATGGCCAAGCTTTCGTCAGTTAACACGACTTCTGGTTCACGAGGCCTGAGAGTCGCCTCGATTTCCACCTCACAGTCCCTCACATTTGACTGATTTTGATTCAGCTCAACTGCCACTTTGTCGTTAGACCCATTGGCTGATGTCTTAATAAAGGGTCTGAAAAATTCCTTCAGATTTTTTGTATAACCCCAGGCACGTTGTAGGAGACCGGAGACACTACAGTTTGTCGTTTCTTTTGACAACAGGTCTATACTGGCTTGGAATATAAGACACCACAATAAGCTCTGATATAACGTATCAGCTGGCAAGTTCATCTGAGAATGCGGATCGTGATCACTCTGTCTCTGATTAAGCGTAGACACTTTGAATTTGTTTACTTGATCTTTGGTGATTTTTGCGAACACTTTATTGAGGCCTTCGAGACTCTCAGCGTCGAATTGGCCCGTTCCTTTGATGAGGTTTTCAACGAAGTTGTCCACGAGACCCTTCAGTGCATGCATCGTTTGCACGGTAATACCATTGGTCGGAAGGCACTGAGCTGACACTTCTACGTTTGAACGTGATATATAAGTCGGTTTTCGTTTGGAAGGAGCCTTGGAAACGCGCTCATTTAAATCTGTCATACCTCCTTTGACTGGTTTTTGTGGCAATGGCAGAGGGCACTCGTAATCTTGATGTGAAATACGATTACTGGAATTCCAGCCTCGTCTTTTGTCTGACAATGAAAGAGTAGGATTGCGAAGACTGGCTTCGAAAGAAACTGCACCGCCATTTGCAACTGGACGCGTAGCGGTGTTGTTCAGAAAGCGAGTATTCGGTTTTGCCACAGACGTGGGCAGTTGTTTGACTCGATGTGGATTCAGCATGATGTTATCTTTTAAAATCCCAAACCTCAAGGTCGAGTAGCGAATGCGTCTGTTGGCAGGTCTTTTGAAAAGACCAGATTATCGATCCCGACGTGGCGTTTCGGCTCTGGAATCGCGAAGGCGGCATTTTATACAAGCCTGCATAAAACTCGTTTATAATAAATGGCAAAAGGTAATTTTTACTGCTTAATTCAATTTTTACGCTAAACTCTCTAGGCTGACGTTTCTAATTTGTTTGCCACGCATCTTTGATTATCATAAGACATTAAACATTTCCTATTTGCATCATTTGTGTTTTCGGGAATAAACTGGGTTTAAAATAATGTTAGTGAAATAGTAAGGCTTTATTTTAAGGGCATTTATCCCCATTTAACTTTCTATTATTTGACTTGCAGTAAGTAACCGCTATGTGGTGTTTGCGATCCTCTCCCAGGCTGTAAAAGTAATTTCGATAAGGAAGCCGATTCATCGTTGGGATGGGAGGCAACAAACCTGACCGAGAGGATACCTTCCCGAGTGAAAATTCAACCCGACCGGGCTGAAGTACTCATGAGGTCAAAAGTACATTGAAATGCACAATCTTTGTGTTTCTTATTTCAATTAGCCCTTTTAAATTGCTCCACTTTTTTTATTTTAGCGCAAATTTCTTGCCAATGACGGCGATATACTTCAAAGGCCGTCAGATGTTTGTGCATTGTAGAAATGGTAGTAGCGTGACATATTTCATCTTTTTTCTTCCTAATCATCCATGCAAAAGAATGCGTGAGAGTACAAAGATAACCAAAAATGCGCGTTATTCGCGGCAGGTTGAAGTAAACTTTGTGATGGTATTCTCTAAGGAGAGGCTCTCTGGTAAGTTAATTGTCTGTTAAATTCTCATTCTTGGCAACTCTCTCGGGCGGCCTGGCCTTCAGGTCATGCAAGTAGCCTGTGAGCCCTTATGTAGGTCGACAATGCGTATTCTGCCTGAGTGTTGTGCCTTCTTTCGTCCTCAGAGAAGCCTTGGGGTGCTATAGATCAACTAGTGAGACATCCCCTAACGTCATGACAAGAAAGAAAAAGTACCTTTTTGGTAGCATACAGTGCCGAAAACTTTTTCCGGTCACAGCAAGCATTATACTTGTGCAGTAAGTGTCGGAGCTGGTAAGGGTTTTAACGCATTGAAGATGCTCAAAATTTCTCCGAATGGTGCATTCGTGATTCATGAAACGCCCTCACCTAATATGCAGTGAGGGATCACAAAAGCATGTGAGTGGTTAAAGCACAGAAGCGAAATAGGACCTGAATTCCATTAATTTGGTTCTTTTTATCATTTTGAGAACTCAGTATCACTCTCCGGAATTGCAGTGCGATTCATCATCTTACTGTTTGCACGCTATATTGCATTAAAGGTCCAGTTTCTTCTCCATTTCGCATAACCACTTCAAGTTGGGTGTAACGAAGTCGCCATTTTGTTCTGGGCATGAAAACTCGACCCTGCAAGAGCAAACAACTAAAGTCAACATTCAGTGGTGCAGAGTAATTTGTCCGCAGCTACCACTCCCCTCGACGTTAACAAGAGTCCAGAAATTTGAAACAGGCAACAATAATTCTAGAATGCGAGAGTTGCTGAAAGAGTAATAAAAACGTGAATTTGTAGACCACTTCTTGTGTAACTGTCGAGATAAATCCCAACAGGCTTAGTTCAAAGATTTGCGCAATTACGAGCAAACTAGATAGGCTGGAAATTGCAGAATTCGCTAAGTGAACACAAGGCTCTAGGACCGACTCAAGTTTTATGATATGTTTAAGAGAAAAAGTGACTACAACACCACAGGTGATGTTGACTTATTCAAGGAAATTTGCATCCACCTTTTCAATTGGCTGTCCAATCCTGTAAGTCCATATCCAAGTCGTGATGTGGGGTGATCTCAGTGGAGAATTTAATTTTTCCCAGAAATAAATCATACCTTGAGTCGTCTGTATTCCCCCCCCCCCCCCAAGTGCACCGAACTCAATCACGAAATTACACTAACAAAGGAAGGGGAAAGGGTCGTATTAATGGGCTTGCAGAACATTCTGCGCCGACCTTTGCAAACACCAAAACCCAATGGAAATATGTTGAGGCTCATGTAGACCTGTTTGCAGGTCTATTGAATTAGTGAAATAGGTTATTTAAACCACGTAAAAAATGAAGTTTATAGTGACGAAGATGGACAACTGATATTGTTTTACCGAAAAAGCTGTCTGGACCAATTAGTTGTCTTTTAGTTGTTTTGTTCTTTTGAATTTCAAACAGTCATACCCAAAGTCCAACTTCTTACGCCTTCTTAAGCAACGCCTTTTCTGAATTTCACCGTTACGAAAACAGGCTTCACTTTCCAGTAACCGGAACAAAAGTGATGACATGCCATAAGAAGTTAATTCCAGCGAAATAGCATGACGACAAACCAGGACGAAAAAAACAGCAGAATAAAGTGAGACTCAACAAACGGGCATGCCATATAAGCCCCTGAGCCCATCTTCGTCGAGCTTCCCCGCCCAGGACTTGACATCTAAAACCACTGCTAGATTCCACTTTCGAAAAACGAATTCCCGTTCCCTGCAGCCATTGCAAGCCACGACTCTTATTGGGACGGTGTTAATCTTAGCAAAAGAACACGAGAGAAGAGAAAGCCAAGGCGTCAAAAAATCGACAGGAAGGAGTCAGTTGAGAGGAGGGAGAGGGGATAGGGTGGATTGAATTGATGAAGTCAAATGCAGCGCGGAGAGATCGGGCGGACAGCTGGGATGGATAAACGACAATCACACGCGGTCTTAGTAGAGATGGCGGCGGCTGCGGTGACTGATTCAAGTGTTTTGCGCTCCATCCGAGATGTACTGACCCTCCGTCTGGACGGCCCAGTTCTCAAAGATGTCGTAGAGGTTGCGGAAGGTAGGTCGATCCTCGGGTCGTGCTGACCAACACTGCATCATGATGTCGTAGAGGTCGTCCGGACACGGCTGTGTCGGTGTATTCGGATTTGGCATTCGATAGCCGCGCTCTACCTGCTGCACCGTCTCCCGATTAGTGAAGCCTGGGTAGTTGAAAAGCATTTAAAAGCGCGTCTTTTGCTTGATTCTGCGTAGAACTGTTCTTGGCACCACTTATTCCTTGCTGATAGATAAAAATATTCGCAGCTTCTCATCTGAATAACTCATTTAAATGAATAGCTAGGAGTTCCCCAAGTTTGAATGCGAATGCTTCCAAATATTTGTGTACCCAAGCATACGGTTGGATAATTTTAGTCGACAAAAAGATTTGGAAACAAATACTGCAACAACCTTAGTACCCGCAAGACTTCATCGGTACTTTAATAAATTCTGAAAAGGTCACATTGTAAGTAAAAAAACGGATGCCACAAAAGAAAAGCTCTAACCTACTTCCACAATGCCGAATTCTATTTGCTCCAAAAATTGAATTGTAGAAACACGACACAAATCTCCCACACCGGGGAGGCCAGATTAAGTCAGACCTCCAGTAATGTCAACACATGTTTATCGCTCATAAAAAAGCTCCCATCTCAAGATTCTGATCATTTCTCTTTGCAAATATCTGCAATTTTCTACTCGCGACCGAAGTACAAGACTTTCTACTCTCGACTTCATGCGAATGATGCCGGGATGTCCGGTATAAAATTAACAGAATGCTTTCAAGAGCAGTCACACGGACAACACAACCAGTTCACCAAACGTCAGGCAACCTTCAGCAAAGCATAGTGATTAGTGCCAGGGAAACAATGGTTGGAAGCCATTGCTCGATGGTCACCTATTCCTCACAAAACGCATTGTCTGCATCCACAAGCTGGCAAAATTTGTCCCAATTTGAACTCCGGTGGTGGACGAGGTGCATGAAGTGACGAGCCGGAACAAACGTTTTAAAAACTTCCACCGAATGATCATAGGTATGGCCGGAGATTGTACCTGGGCAAAGATGATGTTGATTGATACCTGGTTCAAGTCTAACCGGTCAAACTGGTCTAGGCCAAGTAGGCTAAACTTAATCTTGGTGGTATAGCACAGTGCAACGCATTTTGTGCCACGAAAGAAAGAGCCTTGTTGCAGCTGTTCGGAATTTCAGTAAACAAGTTCGGCTCTAGTGACGCTTCAGACGTGGTGATAGACCAATGGTCTGCCGATTCAGCGCTATAGCATTCCCAAAAGGATGGTAACGTCCGAGAGGGCGTCCGGCTTCAATCATACTGAATGATTAATAAGTCATTCAGTCAAGCAATGATGTACTTCCAACAGCTAGGTATATCGGCTCGCGAAATGCCCACTTAGCATTCCTTGTTAGCGTGCTTGGAGTTTGTCTGACTTCGTGTCGTTGGCTGGTTCTTGTCCGGATTAGAGATACATGGTCGGGATTGAAAGTACTCATCCTTGAACTCTTGCTCAAAAGACAAGTTTGTAAGTCTAAATCAGTGGACGGATGTAATCGGCAGTCAAGAATGAAGCGTTTAAAATTGTCGCTAGTCATTTCCTTCTGTTTGAAGTGTTTAGACTGAAGATTGACTTGCCTTGCGTATGTCGCAGAACTCTCATCATCACACTCCCTATTTCATGCGATTGTGACACGAAATGAACAATGAAGACTGCTCTCCGAAAGCGGCCAAGTTTTTTTTGGAAATCTCAACAAGAAGAAGTTAACGAATTTCTTATTTTCGGTCTTTCCAAGTTCCCATGGCAGCAGCATCCCCAGCGGACTCAGAGCGAAAAGCATCTGGATATCTGTTGAACCAAAATTTTAATGCGAGGCCAAAATCCAAATTAGGATGAAATTCCGTGGTGATGTTTGCAGCAGGATCAACAAATTGTTGCTTCTGATCTGATAAAGGCGTAGGCTGAACATCGGAAATTTTAGATGAGGGCTTTTGCTTCCGAAATTTCATTTAGTACAACCAAAAAACCACTTTTGAGTTTCTTCTTACTTTTGTGAGCTATGTGTGCGTGTGTATGGGTACGCAGTTGACTAGTCACGATCCAAACCGAAAGACTCAATTAAAAGGATCTTAAAACAGAAACCTCTGAGACTGCAGCCTTGAACACAGCCCAAAATCCCTATGGTGATCGCCTCCCCTGCGCTTTTACAGCTCTAAGTGACCTTGGGGACAAACAGAGTATTAGCATTAATAAAGTACATCCTCAAGGAGGAGTTGGTCCAGCGGAAAAGGACGTGGAGAAAGCAAAAAAACAATAGGGAGGCGAGAACTCGAATAAAATCGTTGGTAAGTGCTGCAGACAAAAGGTAAAAGTGAGTCGGCAATACGCCTGATTTCAATAATAGTAAATGAGAGATATAACTGCGAAAAAATAAATGGATAAGGAGTATCAGTAAAGTAGGGGAGTGATTGACTTACGGGGGTAGGGAGTGCCACCGTAAGTGACGATTTCGTACATGAGCACACCGAAGGACCAGACGTCCGACTTTATACTGAAATGGTGGTCGGGAAGAGCCGCCTCTGGCGCGGTCCACTTGATGGGGAATTTAATGACTATAAGCAAATAAGAAAATGTTAAAGTAGAGAAATGAGTGCTACACTTCCTTATTATATATGAGACGTGAAATCGGCAGAGTACTAAAGAACCCACCGGGTATCTAATAACATAACACCATAATCTACCTTAAACGTGTTTCACCTCCAGACAGATGTTCCTATAAGTAAGGTTTTATGTGCTGAAAAATTGCACTTTAGAATACAGTCAAGGTCCCAGAGATACCTCCCTTGCACATTTTTTAAAGACATTTTGACAGCAGGGAAAATGGCAGAGAGGTCCCATCATCAGATCTGGAAGTACGTGTATAGCAGCGCATTCAGTATAGCAATTTAAGCACAATATGAGCATTTATTCTACGGCTGCTTATTAAATTTCTATCAAACCATACAAAAACTGCTAATCACCTTAAGGAGAGCAGCCTTAAAAAAATCCTCGAAACCAATTTTTTCCCTATAATTGGTTAATACAGGAATCGCACTTGCTATAGTGAATTATACAGCCCCAAACAACGCTCTCTATATAGATACACTTGAAACAGGTTAAAAGACAAAGTAGTAGATGAATTCTCCCGAAATAAGCAAAATCTAAGTCTTCTTGCTGTCGTAAAAAAAACTGTGTAGTAACCTTGTCACCGAAGGAAATCCATGTCCTATTTTAAGAATCTATGAGCTAAACAACTATTTATTATACGAAGAATAGCTAATATCCAGTTAGGAAACAATTTACTGAAACGCATTAACCAGTCACAGGCGGTAATTACAGGCCAATTGGAGAGTAAGATGCTAGACCCATCGCAAGGGGCGATTTGTGGCTGAGGGAAAGCAAAGTCAGTAGGTGTTTAAATTGGACGCAATAAAAAAACGTTTGCTTCAGTGACGAGTGTAACGCATCCGGTGCTGGTGGAAAAGCGACATTTTCAGTAATGCCAATGTCCTAGGTGACGGACGGGGACTCGTGATACGCCTGGGCATGTGCGTGAGGGTGTAGCAGCGTGCGCCTAGGAAGGCGACGCTAGCAGAAGGTGCAGCGGCGGCATGACTAACACGCTCAACCTCTATCCCTGTACCGCTTCACACACACACACACACACACACAAACCGATGGTTGTGTAATGAGAAAAATGTTTCCACTCGGCAGACTTAGGGTCGAGGGAATTTCGCCTTCACTAAACAGGACTGATTAATTGTGTTGGAAAACAATAATTGGTTTTAATTGTGCACAGTGTTAAACAAAAGCAAGATCTCTCTCACAAATCACTCCTCACGCCTTCAATCCTTCCGAATATTCGTATTCACTTTACTCGAACTTTCGTGTTTTGCAATACCTTCAGGGACTGCTCCGGTGCTGCATTGGTGGTGGTGTTGTTGTTAAACATTTCCAACGCCTTGCAGTTTTCGTTAGGAAATAAGACATCTTTCATTGATGTTCTAGTGGGGATAACCGATACAGAAGTGAAACTCACAATGAAAGGATTATTTAAACGACGTCAGCATTCAGCAAGAGTCTGTTTTATACCTAATCAGCGTCCAAGTTTGGGCAAACAAGACCTAGACTGAAGTCAAGAAATGGTGCTTGCAATGTTAATATTGCCTTTCCATGCGCAGGCTTGGCGTTAAAAATGACAATATCGTGAAAAAAAGAAAATTAGATGGAATGCAAAATCAAGGAATTACTTTGCACTGCGGATTCGCTTTTCAAATGAACATTAATTCGAAATAAACACTGTCTGCTTGATTAAAAACCACTTTCTGTAAAGCGTTTTGGGCAAAGGACGTGTGATATGCATCCAGCTGAAATTCACAAGATACCACGACAGCAACTCATTCCTTCACGATCAACTCTAGATCACTTCTAGACCTTGATGACAGCTAGCAGAGTAGAGAAACCACTGAAGATGTCAGTGTAGTAAAATCACATAGTTTACTCATATGCACGATTAAGAAGCGTTCCGTAAATCATTCTTCAACAAGATCGACTTATGTGGCCTCAGAGTCAACTCAGAAGTACAGTAGGATCGGTAGATTTTAGTAGGGCGGAGACAATCACATGGGGAAGTGGATTCAAGCAAAGAATTATCTAGTCTTTGAAAGTGAGCAAAATGATTTCCCTAAAGGTTAGTAAACAGTTTTAGAGAGGGAAAGAAAAAGCATATTGAAAAGTTTTGACAGACAGATAAAATAAACCGCAAAACGTAAATAAATGGGCCATTCAGTAGTTGTAAATGTGAAGGTATCAACAATGATTCTCCAAGGCCTGAACAATTAAAGACTCTGGGAATTCACTAAGGTAACAAGTGTTTGAGTAGCATGGAATTCCACTGATTCAGCTATAATCAGCTAAGGAGTGAATAATGCATTAAGCGGATTTTCTGCGGAGCTAGCATTAGCATATGTCCAGCAATGGGTGGGGGTACGGGTATGGGAAACGCCAAAATTAAATACGTGGTGAGTCATGTGCAATGGATGGACGTCACGACCTCTCCCCGCCCTCGCACCTCCAAGGCAAACGATGGCATTTCGGATTTGCCGAGAATGGACGCGCAGACACGGAATCACGGTGAAATCAGAACACTGCCGTGACCGATTATAAGAACACTTTTATGCTGCATCTTCGCTACAAAAACGGAGCAGGGTAGCGAGGTATATTAAGCGGGAATCACCGCACGAAAATGCACGAGCGTGAAGGAAAACACGTTCACTAGTAAACAAAGCAACAGAAGAAGCTTTATCAATGCCTAGTCGGCGTGAAAAGGCAAGCACCTGCAAGTCGGGCTCGAACATGCGTGTGCACAAACAAGGTGAGTGAGTCAATCAAAGCACACATTCACATAAGGTGTGTTGTGTGATGTCCACTCCCCGGGTGTAAAAAGCTTAGCATCTTTTGCGAGATATTTCATGGCGAAAAATGCAACGCTCTTGAACAAAAGCACTATTCCTTCGTCCCATCTACTTTGCCTCCCTTTATTTGCATGCAAATCGCATTAATATAGACTGACTTGATTATTTAAAAACAAGGCTCTACATGATACAATTCTAACAAAACGTGGTGTTTTGGTAGGGAATACACTAAATGGAATAAAGAGCACACTTATGACAATAACAGAGCACATAGAGCCACTGCAATTTACTCGTGCAGAAAGTAGTGAACGGTATATGACCGATATCACGAATCCGCAATATATCGACCAATCAAAAGGTGAGGGGGTTTTGTGGATTTTCTAAGAACTCACCGCCATCATTTTGAATATCCGAATCAAGCATTTTTGCAAGTCCGAAATCGGCTACCTTGACGGAGTTGTCACGATCCACAAGGATGTTGGCGGCTCGAAGGTCTCGGTGGACGAAATTCATCTCCTCTAGGTACGCCATCCCTTCGGCAATCTGTCAACCGAAAAATCTTGAAGGCATGACCCCCCTTGAAAACATTTACAAAAGGGCAATGCTCATATCAACTGCAAATACAAAGCTGACGTTTTCAGTTGTCCGTGATCCGGACCTTACAGTGGAGTTAAAAAGATCACGTCACCGGTTCTCAACCCTTTAGCAAGTGTATAACAAACAAGTTGCCTGCCAATTTGACTAAGGTAAATAGGAGTGATTCTACGATTAATTTCTCCCATTCAACTAGAGTGTGGCAAAGTCGCCTAGAACAGGTTACAAAATTGGGTTTCCAATGAGGTTCCCCAAAGGAAAAATAATGCAAAAGATATCTAGAAGGGAAATAGGCTCAAAGACATCACTTCAAAAATTAGGTATTTAAGGTATTTGCAACCCTTTGTCTATATTCGAAGTACCCACGACTACCAGCATAAGTCAAGTAGGAAAATTCCAAAGCTTTAATTAAATGGTTAGAAAAGTTTCTTGAGAAAATAGACTTCGCAGGGGATGTGCACTATAATGACATTTGTTGCATTCACGCCCACAGTTGCGTGGAACGCACAAATAATATCAAGGCTAAGCGAAACTGCGGTAACTGCTTTGTTTATTTTACCCGAATTCGAAATAAATCACCTACTAACTGCAAATTGAAACACCACAGCAACTGACCACACCCGGTCACTTGATGTACAGAAAGTCAGACAAAAAAACACTGTTTATAAATCGTGTTTATGAAATGTCAATAGTGCAAGAAAGTGAAAAAAAGTGACTAATACTGACATTAGTAATATTGTATTAGAATTAATCATGAAAAGAGGGTCCGTGACCACTTCATGCAAATGGTAACGTCAAGCACTGCACGAATAGACTAGTTGGGACAAATTTAAGATAACCGATCAGGATTTAAAAAATAAGAATGTAAGGAGAAAATTGGGATTTAAAACCCACTTTTACAATTAACACTACTGACATTTTTGGTTTAGAGTAATACCAAAAGTTGGGTACTTAACAAACCGATCCTGTTCTAAAACACAGATCATTACTGGGGGAAGTCGCGAGGCGTTGGACAAAGTAGCTACTTTACGTGTTTTAAGAACTTAAAATATGCTTATACTTCTTGAGGAATTTTCCGCCTGCACGATTCTACGATCTAAATGAAAACCAAACAGAGTACCGATGGAAAAAGGCAGGAAGGTTACAATGAATCACCCAAGTAATCATTCAGACTGTGCCAGATTTGGGCTGCTTAGTGCTAAGCAAATTCCAGCACTGGCAAAGCATGAGAACGGAAGAAAGGGGATTTCCGTAGTCGCGTCATAGCGATGTAAAAGAAAACGCTGTGTGAGCGTCTGACAAAATACAGAAATTAATGTATCTGGGATGGGTGAATGGATGAATAGGGAGGTAGATACGGATTGGTAATTAAAGTAGATTCAGGATAGATGCATGGACACAAAATGAAAAGATATACAGTGGAAAGTTGGATAGATAAACGAGTGAATAGACAGAATAAGCTAGGGACTCAGAAAGTTGCATGAGAAGAGCATAAATGGATTCTAGATGGGCTGATAAGTATGTGGATAAATTCAAGATGAGCTCAAGCAACAGACATGAATGGATGAATCTAACCGGAGGGACGCACCTGAGCAATCATATCGATAAGGTCACTGAGGAAGAGTTGGCGGCCCTCCTCGCTGCTGAGGAAGTTGCGCAGAGCACCCTTCTCTAGCAACTCTGTGATGATGAAAACAGGCTCATCAGCCGGCTCGGTGCAGACACCGAGGAGGCGAACGATACGGCGGTGATGCAATTTGTGCATCACTTTTGCCTCCTCAATGAAAAGCGCGCGGTCCGTGGTAGCGAGGCGCTTCTTCACCGCCACGTCGAAGGTCTTGTTCCACCGAGCCCGGTAAACCATGCCGAAGCTGCCGTTGCCTAGCTCGCAGATGAATTCTAGGCTCCGCCGATTTGCCTCGATGTCACGAAACTGCACCGGCGGGGTATACTTCCGCGGACACGGCTGCGATAGGCGACAGCACAGCCCATCGCTAGTGGCTAAGCGCAAACCAGTTGCGAGGGTAAAAAAGAAGAATCCTTTATGCAAAAAACGTACACTTCACTGTTTACGCTGCATCTACGCAATTGCAAAGACAAGTCTACGCAATATGAAAGATAAGACTAAGTCAAGCATGTAATATCAATAAAGGCGATCTCCAAAACTTACTCATACCCGCCTCGCTACAGACAAAAGGTTGCACACAATTTGGCTCGTGCACCACAAGGCACATCAATCAAAAACTTGAGAGTAAAATGAGTGCAGAAATAAACCTTTTCTCACATTGTATCAAGAATTGCCGCGTTCTTATGACAGTGGAAAGGAATACAAGCAAATTGTGCAATACTTTCTGGTTTCAAATATAAGGACGATTAATAAAAGATAAACGAATCATAACCAGTATTGTCCATTATTGAAGCTAAAGCAAGGAGAGAGATTCCTTCCATAGCAAATCTACTTCTCTGTCATTAAAATGCTGATAATAGGAATTCAAATTACATAAAGTTTCAATGGTATTTTTCATTCCTCCATACCATTAAATGAGCGCTGACGTGTCCATCAATAATCTCGTTAATGCTGAAATCACCACGACGCTTGCCGGGTAGTAAGCTAAAAAGCGCGCATGTATGCGGCAGTGAGGAGCGAGCGCAGGCCTACGCAACTGTGAGGGTACCGATGCGGCTGACTTAGGACACTGGCGCGGCTGAAGAGAGCGATACGCACAGCTTGCGATAGCGCGACAAACGACCTTCGATTCACCCACCGCATGTGTCCAATCCGGTGGGCGTTTGAAGGGTGAGCGAAAGATTTAACGATGTTGTTTAGGTGGATGAAGAAAATATTCAGATACTTGGATGGGCAATGAAGATGTTTCAGAGTTTTCCTTCCAATTCAGATTCGCTGTCATCCCCCTCTCCCGGCCTACGTACCAGGCATTGTCTAAATAACGCAAGTCATGGAATCCCACGCCTGTTTAAAATTTGAGAGTTCAGCGACGGCACCATTTGTTTACGCATGATGAGGGTCAGGCAGGCGGAGAGTTGAAATATAGCACAAGAGTGGAGACGAGGTGAAACATAAACGGTGGAACGAGTGCGTTTCAAATTACACCCTGTTCGAGAGGATTCAATTATGCGTGGGTTACACTGTCTGAAAGTACACGCCTAAATGAACAAAAAAGTCGACGGTAGCTTATTGAATGATGCTTCATGAACCGATCAGGTTGACTTTAGAAAACAGCAGACCGATAAGATTAAGTGCGTAATTACGATACCAGTTTGAGATGAATTTGACTAGTCAGACTGCTGCAGAACAGGTCCCCAAATCAAGAATTTTGAGCGTGATTAAGCAATTTTGAGCCAAGAATTAGCAACACTGTTTCTTTCCAGAATTCGGTAAATCACTAACCGTTTCTACATTGCACCAAATAGATATCCATTTCAAAAAGGAACAGTCACGAAAACACTAACCCTAAAAGTCTGTTGACAGAAAAGGGTATAGGAAATGTTCAAAGGGCGCTCTCATGACTAGGAAAACTAACAAAATGCGCAATCATGAACTAGCTTCAATCCACCAATCATGAGCGGTAACTTACACTGATAGTGAGAGATGAGATCGGCGACAGAAGCAAAGTTGGTTCGATTGGTGATGTAGAAGCCGGCACCGTTATCGCGAGTTCGGATCTTGTAGTGCTTTATTGCATACATATTCCTCTCAATTTCGAACCGGATGGAGAGAGCATAACTTCGGGAATCTACAATTATAACACAATAGAAATCATTCGTTACCTCTGACAAAATCGAAGCAATGGGGAGGGTCGTTGGTAAAGCATGAGCTGATGAGTTTACGAACAAAAGGTCAACCACAGTGCAACACTACGTCGCATCATAAGTAAAAAGTAGGATCTGGCACCAAAGATGGGTAAAATAAATTGGTGTCTCATGCCGCAAAACTTGTGAAATCACAAAATTGCGCGCTTTTAAATTTTGAAGAAATCAAATTCTAATCACTTTAAAAGTACACAATGACGGTAGAGGTCTCACCGGAACAGGGGCGTAAAATGTAAGTCCCTTGAGGCAATCCGGGCATCAAAAGCATTCTCTCGGCATCTTTACGTGTAATGTCATACCAGGCTTCCATTTGTGTAGAGAGACCATTTTCCACAGTCACATAGTTACTGGGTATGTAGCCCTGTTGCCCGGTCCTCAAGTGACGCGCCAACCACCAGGCTTCGGATAAGCCCGACTCGACCAGCATGACATCCCCCTTCTGGAAGCTCAGATCATCAGCGTTTTGCGCAACGTAAGTGTATAAAGCGTGAACACGGACAACTCGAGGCGACTGCTCGGCCAGCTGCTGGTCAAGAGTCGCGGGAGGTTGGGCGAGACCGAAGGCGTAGGATGCACTCTGTTGTGGTCCATTCTGCATGCCGTAGAGATTCATGGAGTACTGTTGGGAGGGTTGATGTGCACCACGCGAGGCAGGCACAATGGCGGACTGATTGGCACCGACCGATGCAGCGTCACCTGAAGGACCATAGTGACGACCGAATGGGGCTTGCCCTAGTCCCTGGCCACCCCCTTGTGCATTTGCACCCATCGGCGTCATGCCATTGTCTCCATGGAACTGAAGATTTTCTTTGTGGTTGTGACAAGTAAAACAATTCCCCATTGTGCAATTTTGAGTTCATGAAAGCATGAATGGCTGGGAACTAAAATTCAGTAAAAAAATGTCACAAGATGTTGAACAACGGCTAAACGTCAATTTCACCACTCTAAATATCGTTTTAGAGTGCCAAAATACTCATCTAGCTTCCAAGATAAATATCAAAAGAATACCATTTGATGTGAATTTTGGGTAGGGCACATTAGCACCAAAGCCAAGACATTAAATATGACATCAGGGAGCTATAAACACTTAACATGTAGCAACAAAAATAACACACTTTAAAATAAATCAAATCATGCCAAGAGACAACTATATGCGGTAGGAACAACTGGAATACAGCATTGTTACGGAAAGTCTAGCAAAAAAGGACACCAAGCACACCTAACAGAGATAAGGCAGGAACTTGGATCGTGCGTTCTAGGAGAAGTCAATTAAAAGCAATTTAACAGCCATTTTCAATTCTGAATTCTAAAACTTAGAAAAACACACAAAAAAATCTGTATAAAAATTAATAACACATTCACGGCCATAAAATGCATTCAAAAGTTTAAAAAATTGAATGAGACATTGCCGTATAAAATGCGTAGAATTCGCGCCTAAAAACAACTGGAAGACATTGCAATTTTGGCTAAAACTTATCTTCTCTTGTTTTACCTAGCTTTGTTTAAAATTTCAACCTAATCTACCTACAATGCTATCTGGCACTCCTCCCCAACATTGCAAATTTTCCTTGCAGGATGTTAGATTCAAACGCTTATTTGAAGATATGAGTCAACAATGCAACCGTTGCCACCTAGACTCTCTTTAGACTCTTTTTCGTAGTCCAGCGAATGTACTTCCAACATGATGATTATCAAAACCACACCCATATATTTGTAATTTAAAAAGAAATGATTTGATGTCTGTAAAACTGTGTAACTAACTATAAGCGTGCTTGAATATCCGCGTTTGGTATTTTGGTTTAAGTCATGTCAATAGCCTACCATCCATTCTGCACG